TAAAACTGCCAATCTAGAATTCTACAACCAATAAAAACAGCTTTCAAAATGATGATACAACTAAAAAACAATTAAAAATTACGCAAAGGATTTGAATAGACATTTTTCCAAGGAAGATATATAAATGTCCAATAAGCACATGAAAAGATGCTCAACATCATTAGCCATCAGAGAAATGCAAACTAAAACCACAAGTACCAGTTTATACCCATCACGATGGCTACAATAAAAAAGACAGGGCCGGGGAGGGAGGGGGCAGTGGTTCACGCCTGCGATTCCAGCACTTTCAGAGGCTGAGGTGGCTGGATCAAGAGGTCAAGAGATCGAGACCATCCTGGCTGACACGGTGAAACCCCGTCTCTACTAAAAATACAAAAAATTAGCCAGGCATGGTGGCGGGTGCCTGTAATCCCAGCTACTCAGCAGGCTATAGCAGGAGAATGGCACGCGAGCCCAAGAGGTGGACTTTGCAGTGGGCTGAGATCCCACCACTGCACTCCAGCCTGGGCGAAAGAGCAAGACTCTGTCTTACACAGGAAAAACAAACAAAAAGACAGACAGACAATAACAAATGTTGGCTGGGATGTGGAAAACCTAGAATGCTGACACATGGCTGGCAGAATGCAAAAATGGTGCAGTCACTTTGGCAGTCTGGCATTTCTCAAAATGTTAAACTTAAGAGTTACCATGTCATCTAGCAATTCTTAAGTACACTTTTATATACTTAGCAGCAAATATGCAGAAACTAAAATTTGAGAAGAAATGTAATAATGCTTTAGAAAATCAAATATCTACTAATAAATATAACAAAAAATGTAGAAGACTTATTTTGAAAATCAGCCATTAAGGAGAGAATTAATGAAAACCAAATGAAATATAAACATGTTCACAGATTGTAAGACTTGACACTGTAAAGATTTCAATTCTCCCTAAATAGATCCATACATCCAGTGGAAAAAAAAAACCCTAAATTCCAGTAGGTTTTTTGTTTTCTTAAGTGAACACTGACACTTGGTTTCATTTGCATATTCTGAAAAAGGGCAAGAATAGTCAGCTGGTTCTGCAAAAAAAAAAAAAAAAAAAAAAGGTGCAGAACTACACTACCAGATATCAAATTATAGTAATTAAAACAGGGTAGAATTAAGCAAGGATATACAAATAATCAAATGGAACAAAAGAGAGAATTCAGAAAGTTTCACATACATATGGTTATTCAACTCATGCTAAAGGCAACCCTGTCATACAGTGATGAAAGGATGGTTTTTGCAATAAATTGTACTGGGACAACTAAATATCCATCTGGAAAATAACAAATTCTGACCCCTACACCTCAAACCAAACACAAAAATAAACACCAAATGGATAACAGGTCTAAAACATGAAAGGTTAAAAAAACCAAAAGAGTTCTTACAGAAGAAACCATTAGAAGAATAGCTTCACGGCCTTATGGTAAGTAAAGATTTCTTAAACGTGACACAAAAGGCACTAGTCATAAAGGAAAGGGAAAAAAGGTAAATGGGAAACCATTAAAATATTATTGATTTTTTAAAACATTAAGAAAGTGTAGGCCTGGTGTGGCGGCTCATGCCTGTACTCCTAGTGCTTTGGGAAGCTACGGCAGGAAGATCACTGAAGGTCCAGAGTTCCTGATGAGTCTGGGCAAAACAGCATCTCTACAAAAAATAAAAGAATGGTACCTGCCTGTAGTCCAAACTACTCAAGAGGTGAAGATGAGAGGATCACGTGAGCCCAAAAGTTTGAGTTACAGTGACCTATGATCACACCACTGCACTCCAGCCTGGGCGTCAGAGCAAGACCCTGTCTCTAAAATAAAATTTTAAAAAAGAAAGTGAAAAGGCATAGTTTTAGAGTTAATATTTATAATGCATATCATGGACAAAACACTTATCTGATTACATAGAATGCATATTAATAATAAAAAAGCGGGCAGCCCATTAGAAGAAAACAAAATGAAGTGAATAGACGAGTCACAAAAGAAGATATATATCTAAATGGCCAATAAAAATATGAAAAAGTGAGCACCTTCATTAGACATCATGGAAACTTAAGATTAAAGTAAATTACTATTGCTCACCTAACAGAATGACTAAAATGAAAAGGACAATACCCAGTATTGCTCAAGACTGGAGCAGCTAGAACTCTTACACACTGCCAGCAGAGTGTAAACTAGAAGAACTACTTTAGAAAACTTCTGTCAACTACTAATCAAATGTATAACTTTATGACTCAGCAATTGCACTCCTATTTACCCAAGTGTTCATGTATACTATCGAGAATATTCAAAATTACAGCCTTCATAATAGTACCAAAGTAGAAAGCAATCCAAATGTCCATTTACAATAGAAAAAAGTAAATACATAAATTGTATTCTACTGACACAATAGGTTATACATCAATGAAAATGTACAAGATATATTTACATATATCTACATGCAACAACATTGATACATTTCACAAAAGTAATATTGTGCAAAAGAACACACACTGTTCATATAAATTCAACAACAGATATAATTAATCTATAGTGTTACAAGTCAGGATAATGACTTTCCTTGGGGCAGCGGGAAACAACTGGAGACAGGATAAACAGTGCCTCTCGGGTGGTGCTCTGGGATATGCTGACTACATGGTCTTGTTCTTTGTGCAAAAATTCACTGAACCACACTCTTAGGATTTCTGAATTTTTCTTAATCTTATACTTTAATACAGTTTACTTTTTAAAAAGTGTTTTAGATAAGGAAGGACAAACATAAGGTTTCACCAGAAGCTTCTAAGTGGAAGTAAAGTGAAGCAGCTCTTTAAGTGTATGATACTGTCACTCCTCTACCACCCACAAGATTGTGTACTGTTTCAATGATGAAGTGTGATTTTTATTTTGCTAGTTCACACCTGTAATTCAAAACTCTTATTTGCTACTACCTTCTCCAATAAATAGTCCCTAAACCACTCCATTAGAAGTTAGTGGTTTCTTCTATAAATTCTCCCAGTATCTGAGATTATTTCTATTTGCCACATATTTAGAGCTCCTGTGTAGGCTATATATTTTTAGTGAGTTTCCAGGACCTAACACAGTCTCTTGGGATATCTGAATCTGGACAAATAAATGACATCTCTTTTCCTCTGCAAATATATACTTTTTCTCCCTTTCATGAAGAAACATGAAACTTTTAACTCAGAATCAAATTCTAAAATCAATAAAATTAAGATACTCTTTTAGTTTGTGACAAATTGTTTCTGTGTCTAATTTAACCTGAAAAATAAACTGTCCAATTATTTCTTTTACGTCTTTTCTCCACTCTTTGCCGAAATTACCTGAGACAGAAATTCAGATAGTCCTTGTCCCATTTGGCAGCTAGGCAAGAAGCTGACACAGCAGCTAAGTCCAATGTAAGAACAGGCTCACATTCTAGTTGCTTAGTGGCAGTATCCATCTTTTTGACAAGGTCATTTCCTCAACTCAAAAAGTTCCATTACACAGTCACCTACACATTCCTAAGCTACTCTTTCCCTCTAAAAATGTAAATCCCTTCCATAGGTTAGGTCCAATTTAGCTATGTCCAACTTAAACATGACTATCTACAGAATAATGAGGGTTCAAGAATTTTATGTGTCCTCCAGTTCTCTGCTTGTATGTTATTCCCCAATAAACCCTATTTTATATTTATACTGCATATATTCAAGAAGCAGGTCCCTATGCCTCCTCTATACTTCCTAATCTTCAGATTGTGAAGGGAAGATAATGTGCAGCCTTGCTTGGAATCATTCCTTTGGAATAATAGCATGGATAGTTTACCAATCTTTCCTATTGTAACAACATTCACAATGAATCATACTGTGTGGGCCTTATGTCTTTGTTGAACAATCTTCATGAGTTGAAACCAGGGCCTCCTCTTTAATTCAGTCTATGGGCAACCCTCATCATTCCCACCAACTTCCTTACAGGCTGCTCAGTTGAGTTTTATCTCCAATTATATCTATATTTCAGTGAATTACTACTCAGATTTTGCAAAACACATCTTCAGTTTTGTTCTGTTCCTGGTAAACTTTCTGAAACCACCTGTTCTTGAAACTTTTCCTGATATGCAACTTTCCCAGAGACAGCATCTCTCCAGTAGTTCCTTTATAATATGCTATGAAATGATTTTTCCTTCTTCCTTCTGAACTAGGGAGTTGGTAAACTTTTTCTAAAAGTGCCAGAGAGTAAAGATTTTAAGCTTATGGACCATATAGTTTCTGGGGCAACTACTCAATTCTGTTGTTATAATGCAAAACCAGCCATAGACAATATGTAAATGAATGAACATAACTGTGCTCTAATAAAACTTTATTTACAATAACAGATGGCCAGCCCATGGGCCATAGTTTGTTAAGCCAACATTAGACACTTAAAACTTCTGCCTCTTCATATGCCAGCATCATTATAACTATCTTGAGAATCTGTAATTTGCCCACATGGTACCATAAAATAACTTCAATATATTTTATCAATTAAAACTGAGGTACATACATAAATTTATAAATATTTGCAATAAGTATAAAAAAATTCTCATTATATATTGGTCAACTAGAAAATTTAACTGACTAGAACATTCACTGATAATTATACTTAACTTAGCTACTACCTAATTATAAAAACAGATAACTTAAAAATAATCAATATAAAAAGACTAACAGTCAAATATATAATCAAATACACAGAAGACTAAGTATCTTATGAAAAATCTATACAATGGACAGTAATGGTGGGGACTGTGGTGATTTTACTCTTGAGTATCTATGTTTTCTGTGACATATATAAGGAAGTCTCTTTAAAGCAGATGATGAAAAGACACAATTTTATGATTGTTAGAATTTTTCATTTAATCTGTAACTAAAAATATTTAGACTTAAAATTAAGTTTAAGAAAAATCCAATCTGTCCTATGTTCTTTTTTTAAAAGAATATTTATATCAATTAAATAAATTAAAATTTTCATTTACCTGTCGGTTCCTTTCATCCATTATGCGTGTGATTTGTATTTTCTTCCGCCCCATTTTCAGTCACCTTTCCTTATTTCCTTATATTCCAAATATTTAATTCAAAAGCTAATTTTCTTCAATACCCTAATGCATCGTATACAGCTTCTATTATTTCAGCTTCTAGTCCAAGGGGTACAGCTGAAATTTTCTACAAGATCTAAAAGAAAACACAAATTAGAAGATTTAAAATCTGTGAGTTTACAAATCATGTAAGTGTTATACAAATTTCACATTTGCTTTTATACTGCACACAGCATTATTAGTTGAAATTTCTGGTTATACAAAATTAGTAAGTAAGTTGAAGTCGTTAACTTTACCCCTAAAATGCCTCTTGAATCTCTTTGTGTCTCTAATTCTGGATAAACTAATGCAATAATAATGTTTGAGGTTTTCTCAATTTATATAATAATAGCAGCAAGAGCCAAGCCTTACTGAAATTCTTCTATGTACTAGGCATTTTCCTAAGTATGGACATGTCTTAACTCATTCAATCCTAACAGCAATCTGTAATTATTACCTCCATTTTATAAATAGAGACACTGAGACACAGAAAAATTAAGCAATACGCCCGAGGTCACATAGTAAGGGGCACAGCTTGGGGTTATAAACTCAGGGAGTCTGGTTCCAGCACTTTTGTTCTTAACAACACAGAATATCCTTAAAAACTTCTGATGACCTCCATACCAAACAATGAACTAATCTGGATAGCCCCAATCTGTCTTTTCAAATTCTTGCAAATTGCCCTAGCCTCCAGCCAAATTAGTATTTGTCAATTCACAAAGCCACTATATACTTTCATAAAAACATGCATTTAAATGAAACATTCCTTTGGCCATTTAATGAACACCTCCTTATCAGTCAAGGTTCAGTTTGCACGTCACTTTCCAGATGAAGTGAAAATCTATTTCCCTTGGTAGAATAAACTACAGCAACTTTGTGTGTGTGTATAAATTCCAAGTCTGCTTTCCTTTAAGACTGTGAATCCTTCAAGACTTAAAAAATCTTTCAGGCGTTTTTTTATTTCACTTATGCTGTGTAGCAGGATGACTGGAAATGATATAGTTTGTCATGTTCTGAATGATGGCTGTGTCATTTTAAAAACCTAGTGCTTTCAGACTTACATAATAAAAATATGAGGAGATGGGGGAATGAATGCTATAATACAACAGTCATAATAATACATTCCCATGGGAATTTTATGCAAGCATTTTTAATACTGTACATGTGTATCTATAAAACTTCAATTGTACTGTGCATATCCAGTGTGTGATTAAATCTGGCTTTTGCTCAATCAAAAGCTATGAGCCTTTCATTACTTCTCATTTCCAGCACTAACATAAGCACAGCATTTCTTATTTATCTTCCCTCATTATTTTATTTCTTCATTCATACAAATATTAGTTGATCATCTATTAACTGACTGATAACCTATTGTTCACCTACTTCTAATCAATGTACTTCCAAACACTGAACTATGCACAGAGGATAATGTGGCCAGAAAAAAAAAAAAAAAAAAAAAGGAAATGATTCCTAATCTAGCAGAGTCTAGTAGAAGAAAAAGACATTAATCAAAGCATAATGCAAATGAGTTTGCATAATTCGAAACTAGAAAGTTCACTTATCTGAATTAAATTTATGGTTCAGGAAAGGCTTCCCTGAGGATGTGTCTCATACTCAAGTCTGAGTATGAGAACAGCATGTGCAAAAGCCCCATGACAAAAGGGAACAGGAAACATTAGAGGAACTGAAAGATGGCTAGTCACTGGTGGGACCCAAACAAACAGGCAGCTGTGTTGTAGAATATTTCTTTTAAAAGATCACATTGTATCCAATTCCCAATATAAAAACTTGTACTGTAGTAGGCAGGAGAAATATTAATACATTTTACTGCAGAGCTAGTATTGCTAAGGCATGCAAGATATTTTAATGGCTGTAAGATGGATACATTGTACTACCTTATATCACCTAAAAAATTCTGAATTCTATAACATATTTGGGCATTTTTTTGCTTTTGACAATGGTGGAGTAGTTTGCTTCAAACCAACCTTCCTTTGAGAACAACTAGAAAAGAAAAACACAAGATAATCAGTTTTATATCACTAGAGAACTTTCAAAACTAGAGAATCTGCAGGGCGGAGATCTGGAAGAAAGAGGTGATACCAGTCTCTGGACTCATCTGTCTGTAGATTCCAAAACCATTGCCTAAGAGACTGAGAAAGTTAAGAGAGTTTTCAAGAGACCTGGGGGTGGACATACAAAACTTAGATTTAGGGCCTGCCAAGGAGGAATAGCCCTAGTAAACACACCAGGTATATGGACAGACTCCAAAGAACTATACTCTAGGCATAAAGGTAAACTAGAAACAGATGAGCCCACACAGGAAGAAAAGCACAGCTTTAAATCATCTCAATCCCTAATTAGATTAAGGCAATCTGGGCTAACTACTCTTATCAGCCTAGCTATACACCAGTAGCAAAAGTAATTCTCAGCAGAAAGATAGCATCATCTAGAAATTCATATTTTTTTCACGTTTCATATCAATGTCTAGAAATCAAAATATAACCAGTCAAAACCCAAATGAAACCAAGATTTTTAAAATGGCAATAGAAACAAATTCACGGTAGATCCAGATAATGGTGTTATCAGAAAAAAGTTTAAAATAAGTTAAATATTCAAGGAATTAAAAAGTAAAACTAAGAATTTTCATAAACAAAAAGTGGAAAACATGAATCAAAACATACAATTTTGAAAAAGAAGTGATGCATGGTTTTAATAATACTTTAGACACAGCTGAAGAAAGAATCAACCCAGAAGACAGGAAAGAAGAAAACACCTAGACTGAAACACAAAAAGAGAATGAGAAACATAGACAACACTGAGAAATTACAGCACATGGAAAACGGATACAAAATACATGTAACTGGAGTCTCAGAGGGGAGGAGAAAACATACAGGCAAGAAAAAAATATCTGAAGACATAATAGCTAAAAACTTTCAAAACTGACCAATGAGACATCAAGCCACAGATGCAAGAAGCTCCTCAAGCAAAATAAATACAAAGAAAATCACACTTAGGCACATCAAAGGGGAGAGGGGGAGAAGGAAAGAAAGAGGGGAGGGAGAACAGAGGGACAGGGGCAAGAGTGGGGGAGAGAGAAGGAGGTCCCCCATCCCCATAAATTTTTTTTTTTTTTTGAGACAGAGACTCGCTCTGTCACCCAGGCTGGAGTGCAGTGGCGTGATCTTGGCTCACTGCAATGCCTGCTTTCCAGGTTCCGGCGATTCTCCTGTCTCAGTCTCCCAAGTTGCTGGGACTACAGGCACCCATCACCATGCCCAGCTAATTTTTTGTATTTTTAGTAGAGACAGCGTTTCTCGGAGTTAGCCAGTGTGGGATATGATGAGGTTTCTCTTCAAATAACACGTTCAGTCTTTTATTCTTTAATTCATAGTACCTCCCCGAAGCCTTTTCCCCTTTTTCTCCTTTTTGCCTTTGTGAGATGCCCAGGCATGCCACAGTAGCAGGCATTATCAGTACCAGCTCACATTCCTTTCCTGATTTGGAAAGAGGACTAACTTTCAAGGTCATTACAGACACCCCTTCCCCTTTCCCCTCCACTTTCTTTTACGTGCCCATCTTATCTAAAAAAAATCAAATGTTTAGCCAACCGGGATTAGTTCAGATTGTACAACCCCACCCCAGCCAACGGGGAAAGGGTACAGGGGCATGTCTTGCATCAGGAATAAAGGCTCTCGTGCCCCTTTATTCAGGTGTGCTCTCATGGCGACTGGCCAAGGAAGCCCCCCTCTGCGGAGAAGTAAAATTGCTTTGCTAAGAATCCTTTGGTAGAGTGTTCAATTCCCTTAGGATTTTGAGTGTTATTCCTAAAACCAGATAGTCTCAATCTCATGATCCACCCGCCTCAGCATCCCAAAGTGCTGGGATTACAGGCGTGAGCCACCGCGTCCGGCCAGACAGAGAGATCTTACAAGCAGTCAGAAAAAATTTAAAAGATTAACTTCAAGAGGCAACAATAAGAGTTATAGCTGGTTGACTTTTCCCAAATAATAAAAGCCAGAAGACAATGAAATGATGTCTTCAAAGTGCTGGTGGGGAAAAGGCAAACTAAAATTTTGTATCTGACAGAAAAAAAAAAAATCCTTCTGAAATGAAGGCAAAATAGGCAACTTTAAGGCAAACAAACAGTTTGCTGTCAGGAAATACTGAAGAGACTTTTTCAAGTAGAAAGAAAAAAGAACCCTAAATACGGCTTGGATATGCACAAAAAATGAAGTGCAATGAACAGGGGTGAACAGGGTTAAGTGAATAACTCCAAAGGAATACTGACTAAAAAATAACACTTTGTGGGACTTCAAATGTTACAATACATAACATTAATAGTACATAACAGGGGAGGATAGCAAAATGAAATAAAAGTGTCCTAAAATCCTTTCATTGATTAGGAATTGGAAAAAACACTCATTTACTTTAGACCTCAATAAGTCAAGGATGCATGTGGTAATCTCTTGGGTAACCATGGCAAGAACAGTAAAAGTACAAATAGTTAAGAGGAGGAAAAAAAATGGATTAATAAATAACCCAAAAGAAGGCAAGAAAGGAAAGACAAATAGAAAGCAAACAGGGAGACGACAGATTAAATCCAAATATGTAAGTAATGACATTAAATATGATTAAACTAAACCTCCAATTTTTCAAAGAAGATAATAGAAGTGGATTAAAAAAACAAACCCCAATTATATGATGATTACAGAGGACACATCTTAAATATGAGGATACAGAAAAAAAGTAAAAGCACAGTGAAAGACACACCATGTAAAACACAAACCAAAAGAAAGTTGTGTGGCTATCATAGTAAACTTGAATGCAGGAGGTAGACACTAGGTACATATACATGGATTGCATGGATAGATACAGGATACTTCAAAACAATAAAAGTTGAATTCACCAGGAAGACATATCAATTCTAAATTTGAGTGTACCTAACAACACTTACAGTTAGGAATCTGTTCCTGAAAATCAGACATGCTGCATGAAAACCATAACCAGAAATTTATTTCCCATTATTTCAAGTAGGGAAAAATTATAATATGTTACACATCAACTATAATCCCCAATCATTTCTCTTTTAAAATTCAA